AGCAGCTGTATTCTTTTGTTTGTTAAATTCATGTGTTCATAATAGAAAAACAAAGGATATGGGTATCCACCCAAATACAAAATCCGTACATGCACAGAAAAAAACAACAAAAAAACCAAAGGAACAGCGCTTGTATATGTGTTCTTCATCTGAAAGTCATGGTGAGGATTTCAACACGGAGCAAACAAATATTTCACCGCACTGAAAGTTTAAGACTGCTCCTACCACTGGTGAGCGGAAATCGTTGCAAAATGAGCGGATGTTTTCATGTATGTATTGTGTCAACTTATTGTATTGGCAAAATAGTTTTGTAGCGACTTGTCTATCAGTAAGAAATGAAACGTGGTAAAATGGTTTTGTAGCAACCTATCTATCAGCAAGAAATGATACGGCTGCATCACTAAGGTTCCTACAAATCACATTCAAAATGACTACTAGATACAGGAAAACAAAACACTAAATCAATCAACTGTCCATACAAATTTGTAATACAATATTAATTTCCTGTTTTATTACATATTATTTAACAGTTAACATTCAAGATATGGTTTGATAAGGGACTTTCCGATTTGAATTTTCCTTGGAGTTCGGTATTTTTGTTATTTTACTTTTTAAACAACTGTTTATGTCACCAAAACTCCAGCTTGTTTAAAAGGTCTTCTTGTCTAGTATTTAAATTTTCAATTATAACAGCAAACACAAAACATATCATGAAAACCCACTTAAAAAGTATATCTATTTTTGTCCAAAACTGGTAAGGTTTGAATGTTCGTATACGTATTTCCTTTTTTGTTCGTACTCCAATATTGCCATGATTATCAATTCTCGAGAATTGTGGACAAATGTATTCACATGGACCTTTCATTTATTGACACAATGGTCACAAAACCATAAAGAATAATTGTATTTCTTTGAGTCACTTTTCGGGATAACCTTATCACATGTAATCCATGTAAAAGAGAGGCGGAAGATACCAAATGAATTTCAAACTCATAAGTCTATGACAAACTGACAATACCATGTTAAAAAAACGAAAAGCGATCAAAAGACACACAACAGTATACAATAAACAACACACAAAACTAAAGACCACGTACCCTATCACAAAATCGGGGTTGATCTCATGTACAGAGATGAAAACTAAGCAGATCCTGCCCCATACGTGGCACCCTTAGTGTTAGTTCCCCATAACATAAAACTCATTAATTTGATTTTTCGATCGTATATTCTTTTGATTCAACCTGAAGACATTTGATAATGTTACAAATAAATATGTTTAGTGAACAAACACCTTCTGGCTGTACAAGTAAGTAGAGGTATCAGGTTAGATACCGAAGTATCCTGCAGTAACCAGGATGTTGTTGTCTTTTGATAGATTGAATGTTGAAAGGTTAGCCCTGTCACATCTTTAAGTGATTATCCCAGTTCAGGAAGTTCGTCAGTTGTATTTTGTTTTATTGTTATTTATTAAAATACAATTCTAAAATGATGTTTCTTTGTGAATATTTTAAATCTCAAGTTATTCTACTGACAGGGGTTTTCTAAGTCGGATAGAGAGCGAATGTAATGACAAGAAAAGCCGGACGTCGTTTTACGTTGCCTTGTAAAATATAGTTAAACAGATAACTTACAGTCTTTCAAACTAGAGAAAGTTTCTTGGCTACGTCTTTTCTAAGAGTAATCACCTTTTGATGATATTGTAGTAGAAACTTTTTCTCGAATCAGATAAATATATGGGTATTGAACAATACCAGAGTAGTCGTTACTGATTGAGTCCTATCCTGGTTTTTGACATAATAAGTGAGTGTTGATTCGCATGGCGGGAGATGCATACATAAAATGAGTTGCTTATCCTGTAAACACACCCGGTTTCGCTCCTTTCGGAGTTCATGCGATTCCCTCAGTTTGTAAGTAATCTTCATTCGTCTTCTTAATCGATTTATTAGATTTGAACTACTGTTGCCTAAATGTATGTCTTTTTGAGGTTTTTGGTAAAATTTCCGTCAGTTGCAGTTCAATTCATTCCCAAATTTCCATTATATTTGGAAGTTGACTTATCATAAATACATTTATGAAGACCAAAATGGTGACCTCTGAATGTCCCGTGGTATTTCTACTTTCTGATTTGTTCCGCATTTTCAAATATTTTGTCCTCAAGCATCATTGAAGAGTATTATTCCTCGTAACGTGCAGACATATTTCAATTAAATTTGTTTTGAATAATAAAAAAAAGTGTATTGACAAAAATACCTAACTACAATGTAAATTCAAAAAGGGGACAATCCGACAAACCTGCAAAATCAAACGTACGACTATATTTACCAACGGAACGGACAAGAAATTGTCAAATTAACATTACAACAATCCATCAGTATTTTTTAGATATGAAAATCGCACCTAAGCACGACTATCTATCAATACAGGTTTTCAAATGTTTCATTTTGTTTTATGATCAACTTTATGTTTTATTGAACAAATCGTCTAATCGCCAAAAACATTGTTATGTCGATTTTTCTACAGCAGTTTTATAATACAGCAAATTTGATGGAATAAGTAAAATAGGAACTGTTCAGGTCGAAAATTAAAAGAGTTACTTAAAGAAATTTGTGAAATATGACGCAATTTTTATACTTTTTTAAATGATTTGAAAGAACAAGTCTTAAGTTTTCTTGATAATTTTACATATAAAGCAATTTAAATATGATCAAATAATCGTCCTATATAAATTTAAGAGAAAACGATAATGTTGTTTTAATAACAAACTACCTTCACTATTAAACATGATTGCATACTATTCTAATTTATCAGCGAAGGCCGAAGCACTTAATATTGTGAAACTTCCTTATCTTATTGTGATCTATATAGATGTATGATGATGTTAGTTTGTAGTGAAAACAAAGTGATTTAACATGACAGCCGAAGATTATGTTTAGCTCAAATGATTGCGTGCTATAAACATTGAACTATATATCGCCAGTTTTGCTTATAGTGCATAATATTTTTTGAAATAGTACAAATTATTAAAGTGTAAGTATTTCAATATAAAGGTGCTGGTGATTCTTTGTTCGGTAATAAAGAACAATAAACATATATGTATTTTTTGTTTTCAATTCTATTCAAAATGCATTGGCTAATAAAACAGTTCCATTTACCGAAACACAGACATATATATAATAATAGCATATATAGAATAGACACCTCTTCTGTAACAAAAGAAAAAAAAACGAGATAAAAATAAACTAGATATCTGTAAACATGACTATGACGTTTTAATATCATTATATTTATTATTTTGTAAATGGATTATATATGTTTTAATGGTCTACCAGAGACGATATATTTTGTTAAGACCAAAGTCAACAAAAGGTTACTTGCCATAAACAAAATATTATACGTGAATTAGAATAAATGCCTGTAGGTTCAAGGTTAATTTAAAGCGTTTTTTTTTTTAAATCTTTTAACAAAAGGATGCAGGTCAACACATGTTAAAGTTTTGGCAAACACACGAAATTATAACATGCACTTAATTAATCTGTTAACCTTTTGACACTAACCACTTCTTTTTAATAATTTTTATTTGCAATTGTTAGATGAGTAAAATTCTTAAATTTAATAAAGTTAAAATCGTTTTTCATGTTAAAGCAATATGCGAACACACTCTATACAAATAACAGTCAACAGTTGTGAATCGAACTTTAAAATTCGTAAATCAATTTTAATGTACAGAGGACAAAAAAAAGGAATTCATATGAATCCCAAACAGATAGAGACGGGATTGGTCGACAGCGTAGAATTTGCAATACGTACAGTATTAAGGGAAACAATACAAAAGAATAATATCAAAATTAAAAGAATTCTTAATACAAAACACATTTTTATTTTCTAACTTACTTTATTTGTACAAATATATTTATATCATAATTCGAGTTATGTTTTTGATATATTTGATAATGCATGACGTTACATGTAGTATTGTTAATAGTAACATTCAAATGTATGGAAAATTGGAAAACTTATTTAAAAAAATAGTGCCCACGTTTTCATTTCAAGAAGACATCTTGAATCACTTTAAACAATCGATAAAGATCAAAAGAGAGGGAGGAAACAGAATATATCGTGTTGAGTATCTTCTGCAGGGTCTGCTTACCCTTCCGGAGCACTTGAGATCACCGCCTGGTTTAAGTGGGGTTCGTGTTGCTAAGTCTTAAGTTTTCTATGGTGTGTTTTGTGTACTGTTGTTTGTCTGTTTGTCTTTTTCTTTTATAGCCATTGCGTTGTCAGTTTATCTCGGACTTGTGAGTTTGAATGTCCCTTTGGTAGCTTTCGACGCTCTTCTCCTGTAAATTAATATATATATATAAATATATACATAAACAGAGCCGCTAGTGATATAATAATGATACAAGTACCATTTACAAGAGTAATACCTAAGTTTACTAGAGGATAAGTAAATATGAGTTCAGCATACATTTAGAAGTTTATACTTGCACTTACATTAATTCCCATTAATGATTTAAGACTACGGTTTTAAATTCATCACATTTTTTTGCCAATATAATCACATAATCATTAATTATTTGTTTAAACTAATAAAAGTTTTATTTGGTATTAGTTACTAGATTTCCTATTCTTAAGACTGCTTGTAAATAAATGTTAGAATAAGGAAAATAAAGATTCAGAATTATTCAGGATACATATATCCCAAGTGGAACCTCCTATGTGAAGAATTATATAGAATACATATATCCCCAGTGGAACCTCATACACCGATAAGACCATTAAATATGTTTACTTAGCTTATTACACCCATGTACTATATCAAGAATGTTGTATTAAATGAGTCACCGTTCCACACATGTATGTAATTAAATATCTAGCTTAATGTGTGTTTTGCGTTGATAAAGAAAATTTGCCGAAACCAAGATGTCTTTGTTTACATTTCTTTTATAGATGTATATAAAATGATCTCGATCTTTTTTTTAAATCATGCATAACTTTACTTACCATGTAGGATAAACAATAAAAGTGACAATTTATGTTTGCATCTGTATATAGTATGTATGTGTTTAAATCTAAAATAATTGAACATGATTGCACACTTGTATGGGTATAATTTTCAAGTTCTTATCAAATTGATAGTCTTCTAATACTAGTATCTGAAACCAAATAAAATTGTCGTCTAGGCATTTACACAATATAATTATTATGAGAATTAAAATCTTATTAAATAATATATTTGATTGCTTTAACATTGTAGCTAATTTATATTTTCATAACAAAAATAATGTTTTTCAATAACTGTAATTACAACAGTATCGATTCACGATACACCAGATGTCCGTCCTGTCATAACAAACTAGTTTGTAACCATAGCAACGTATTGATTTATAGCATAGAGAAAGGAATGTCAATAATTCGACTGGAGTAGTTTCGTGTTTTTTTTCTAAAGTGAAATACCAAATAAATCCGATAAAATTTCGCTTGAAAGCTTTTATTCATGTCGTAACAAAAGAACATAATGTTTTATTTGACTGATTTATTACAAAGACACTGAAACAGCAATGTGTTACTTAAATTATTTTATACGCGTTAGTATTTTAACACTATAAGCGTCATTCTAACGCATCTAAATTTAACATGCATGATGTATAGTCATATTGTTAAAAGACCTAAATATGATTGTCTTGTCATTTGTTAAGAAATGTTAGATCACTTCCCTCATTGTTTGAAATCTGAATATTTTAGGGTACAATCTTTAACATCATCAATCATGATTTATGCTCCCGGCGGGTTTCCTTTACTTTCGTTATTTTTTTATATGTCTTTGCATGTCAAGAAACCACGACAGGCGTTCTATTTGTTCATATTATGAAAATTTAGGTCTGCCAAATTGTACGATTGTTTGTCTGTTAATTCATTTTATATATGTTGCAGATCTAAGATAGTATTTGTTGCGTTTATGTACTCAATAACGAGGCGAAAGATACCTAGGGAACACTCAAACCTCATACGTCGAAGAGAACAAGACAGAGCCATGGCAAAATATGAATGAAAAGGGAATCAAGACCGGTAAACACCACTTAAAAAACTAAAGACTGACCAACACGAACCCAACCAAACACTGGTTGTGATCAAATTGCAAAATATCAAATTCTAGTGCGATATATTAACTCAACAACAGCTTGTGATGTTTGTTTTTATTTAAATGTTGCTCTTATTATTATTCAATCATTAGCCTAGGGCAAACAGTAATTTAACGATGTATTCTGATGTTGTTTTTTTTTTTTTTTTTATTTAAATGTTCCACTTTTAGTTTTACATGAACTATTATTGATATTGTCATATTCATGAATTGTTTACAAAACTTTGAATTGTTCGAAAAACTAAGGATTTACTATCCCTGCAATATATTACCTAAGCTGTATTTTGCAAAACTTTCATAATTTTGGGTATCAATGGTCTTCACCTGCGTCCTTTTTACGGCCTCTTAACTTTTAAATTCGAGCCTCATCGATGAGTGTAGGTTGACTTCAGTATAAAGTTATAATAATAATGATAATAGAGGTATTTCCGGTTGTATGCATATTCTAGTTTGAGCATATACATGATTAATTCAAGTAAACACCATTAATATAGGAGCTACACAACACCGTCTTCTCCACACAACATGCGGGTTTTTTCAAAGATGATGTAAAGCTCTATCGTCGTATGTTTAGGAAAAGTTGTGCCAAATTTTACTATGTCAAATTATGCTTAAGGGTAGAAATGTCTTAGTGTTTCAAATTATTTAAACATTAAGTATTGAACATGTAAAAAAACAGTCGGGTCATTGCCTCTTTGACACATTCCCCATTTCCATTCTCAATTTTAGTATTTTATTATAAAGACAAAAAAAAACCTGCGCGAAAACTGTTGTTTTAAATGCATTGTATTAGGTCATGAGAAGCAACAAATGAACACGGTGAAGATCTAGCTGACCAATCTAAGGCCCAACTGGCGAACATAACCCGACCCGAAAATACCTCGATATATGTAAATGTAAATGTTATATTAACAAGATAACACGCTGTGAAATCACCTGACTATTGTCAAATACTGTATATTGGCCTCAAGAGAATTTTGTATATTGAACTCTAGTGGATTTTGTACATGAACCACTAGAGGTTATTCGTTTCACAGTGTTGATGTGGACTTGATATATACTCTTAATCATTATTTATCTATATCATTTCATTTTTTTCTGATGTTTTTGAATTTAAAAAAAAAAATAATAACCAAAGAATTTACTATTGATCTGACATTGCCAGTTTGATTAAAGTAACAAAAAGATTGTTCACAAGCTTCCAAGGAAATAATGACAGTTGAACGTATCAGTAGTAACGTACCATTGAGTAAAACAATGATAGAAAGCTGAAATATGAAACGCCTAGCAAAATTAATCAGGTTCACTGTCTTGTTCATTTCGGTTAATGCACACAACAAAAACTGCATGTAAACAATGATAAAACCTTGAGAATTGTCTTTGTAAAACAATGTGATAATTTTCGGCGTAGAGCCATTCTGTTCTAATATTTTGTTTTCTGTTGACGTTATTTTACTAAACGTACACATTTTTAACAGTTTAAACATTCTGGTTTGAAAGATAACGGTTAAACTAAAGCAAAAACCTTTAAGGACGTGGCAAATGTAAGTAAGAAGAAACAGTAATGCATTGATCAGTGACATGTAGACTTTCGATAATCAATTTGAAATTATCTTTTTTTAATGTCGAATTTTAAATTTCTGTCTTCCTATGATAAATTCAAAATATCGACATGCATATTTCAAATTCTAAAAATTTTAAAAACGGAACATTCGACATTCAGGTTTCTAACATGATGTTTGCTACTCAAATTATGATTTAAATTTGGGTTGTACTTAAAAATGACATCAAGATTAAAGCTATAATGGATTTAAATTTCACAAGAGAAAAAAAGAATGATGACATTGCGAAAAAAAAAATGTCATCGTTATTTTGTTTTAATTCAAAACTTTTAGTGGTATGACAATGGTTGATATGATAACTAAACCTGACGAATCTACATCACAGTACATGACATTTAATAGTTTCGACGACAGTGTTACTCTATTTCTATCTCAAAGGCTAAAACAAATTGCTGAATATCGCGTTCTAAGAACAAATGAAATTGTTATTGTTAAGCATAATATAATGTAATGTAATTTTTTTGATACCTTGAACAGGATTTTTATATTCAATTCTGATTTTCACATGGTTTTCGCTTAGTTTTGTTTTTGTAAACCTTTGTTTTTGAAAAAATACATTTATTACCTTTATTTTTGCAAGAGTAAATTTATTAGCTTTGTTTTTTACGAGAAATACCTTAAACAGCTTGATCATGTCATGTCATATAAGATCACTCGCAAAAAAAAATAGAAAGGACAAATCATTTTCAATGCAAAATACAAATGAAGTAATCATTTAAAAAAAAACAACACAGAAATCAGCGATTGAATGAACACGAATATACAATAATGTAGCACATTCGAATTTTCAGGTTTCATGTATTTGTTTTTTGTGTTTAACGCTTCTTTGAGCGACTTTGGTTGTATCATGGGGGTCAGTTGCCATTTGTGGAGGAAGCCGGAGTACCTGGAGTAAACCACCGACCTGCGGCAGGAATACTGGTTTTAACAAATGGATTATAACATACTTTTAATTTTATATTGTATTGTTAGTCATATCTCACTGCCCTAAAACGATTTTATGGTTTCTTAAGTGTACATGTCTAAAAGTATATTAGTTTTGTCATTCAGATGTAAATAGAAAATTTAGGTATACATTATTTTAAGATGCGTTTCTTTATTTATTGTGAATAAAAAAAAATGAAGCAGCTTAGGAGACGAATATTGTTTTTGAAATTGACAATGGAAAGGATAATGTATATTTTTAATAATAACCTAAATAGGACTTTGTGATGAAAATATAAAAATAAGAAGATGTGGTATGATTGCCAATGAGACAACTCTCCACAAGAGACCAAATGACACAGAAATTAACAACGGCCTTCAACAATGAGCAAAGCATAGTCAGCTATAAAAGGCCCCAAAATGACAAATGTAAAACAATTCAAACGAGAAAACTAACGGCCTGATTTATGTACAAAATAATGAACAAAAAACAAATATGTTACACAGCAACAAACGACAACCATTTCTCATTTCATTTCAGCTCTTTTCATTTCTTTCCTTTCTGTGTACTGGTTTACAGTCGCATAAATGTATACATCTTATCTACTTTATTCCAAAATGTAGACCTTTGTCACAAATGACGAATGATATGTTTGAATTGTTTTTACCACCACCCCATCCTCATTTTCGCGATTGATCCCCAAATGACACTTATCATAGAACTTATATTTACCATGAGCTACATAACGTGTGTCATTAACATAGCAGGATCTGCTTAACCTTTCGGTATTTTCTTTTGTTGAGGTCTTCCGTGTGTCAATTTGTCTCATTCTCAGATATAGATGTTCTTGCTTTGTGTCAATTTGTCTCATTCTCAGATATAAATGTTGTTGCTTTGTGTCAATTTGTCTCATTCTCAGATATAGATGTTCTTGCTTTCAACCTGTTTTGAAACAAATAGATTTTACTTCAACCTTATATGATACATCTTCCAATGTACTCAATAAAATTAATCCTCTTTGGTATGTTTCGTCCCCTTTAGGATACTGCCAGCTACGTGTACGCAAGTGTTTTTTTATATTCTTGTGGAGCTATGCTAAAGAAAAGAAAATTTCTAGGGTCTACTTTGACGTAATAAAAAGCTGCAAACAAAAGTTTTATTATCAAAAACGTATTAAACAAATTTTATATTTCAATGCGCACAGTTCGTTTTCCAATTAAACCTTCGAGAGAATATGCAAGTTCGGGAAGAATAAAACTCACAAAATACAGAACAGAAAACTTAAAACTCCGACCAAAAACCCAGGAGCTAATCAGTGTTCCCAATAAGGGTTTATCATTTCTAGCTCCACCAGTAAAACTCGTACTATTTTTTCTTTTTAAATCCGTTCTAGTGTTTCAATCGATACATTGGCGGATTGTTCTACTTTAAGGAGTACAAATCTTAAACCACCGGTACATGTAAATTCTTATTTATCAATTTAATCAGAAATGTAAATAACATGGTGTTCATGGCAAGGAACAGTCCAGTAAATAGTCATCTGCGGTAACCCCAGATACAGATACATATACAGATATTCAAATACGATCTATGTTTAGTGACTTCAGATTTTACCTGAATAAATAACATAAAGACCTTTGTTTGCAGTATATTTTTAGAAAAAGAATTTCCTGTTCTTGTCATTTTTGTCAGTTCATCATTCCTAAAATCGTTCACGCTTAAAATCAAACAAATTAAAAACAGAAGAATAAGTTGACAAAAGTCATCTTTGCTCGTGGAGTTGCAGCAATAGTTTCATGTCTCTTTCATTGTTATTTGACTTAAAACTTATTAAACATAACACTAATGCAGGCCGGATGGTACACTTTGGCAGATGAGAAATAAGGAGATGATGTATGATAACTTATGAGACAACTGTCCATTAAGAAATGGGAATAAATAAGGCTATCGCACTGTTTCGACAAAAAGGAAAACCATATCGTATAGTAAGCTATAAAAATCCCTGGTGTTACAAACTATGAAGTATTCAAAAGACAAAAAATGGTCCGATATTAACTACAACAATGGCTTATATATAATTCAAATAGAACTGTGATCATGCTAGTTTCTCATTCAACAAGATTAGAAATTCGTTTAAAGTGATGCGGACAATACAACTAATTTGTCACATAAAAATTTGGGTGGAGCATTTGACAGTGTGTCTAAATGAAAAAAATGAAAACACTACTTTATAATTGTCATGCTTCTGAAGCGCTTTTCTAGATTAACCTTCATCAAAGATGATCAAAGTCGTATACTTAAAAGCCAAATATGTATAAGAACTGAAACACTTGACGATCTATATGACCAAAAAGTACCTTAAAATAATTACCAAGTCCGTATAAGGTCAACTTTGCCTGAGGGAGTTGAAACCTGAGTTTCTTAATAATCTATAAATTTATCAACAGATTAATTGAATAAGAAAGGTTGGTTATATGTCGTGTCGGTACCAAAGAACTTACTACAAAGTTGATGATAGCCTCGGGACTAATAGTCCACCAGAGGCGGTATCGACCTAGTGCTGTTAAAATGGAAACAACAATTTATAGTTTCACTTTTCGGGAATTACCATCATCATGGACGC